TTGAGTCTTGTTTGCTGCACCTATAATTTTTATAAAACGTTATTTTTTTAGCACAAACTGCCTAGGGGGTGTTTAAAAATGTCCACCTTTTATTGAAGAAAAACTGCACGTTTTTTCTTTTCTTTTTTCTATATTTTACTTAAGGCAGTTTTAGATATTTGCATTCGTAAACGAAAAATTCATTAGAAATTTAAAATTCATTTGAAACAGAACAAGAACAGAACTAGAACAGAACTAGAACAGATCTAGAACAGAACTAGAACAGAACTAGAACAGAACTAGAACAGAACTAAAACAGAACTAGAACAGAACTAGAACAGAACTAGAACAGAACTAGAACAGAACTAGAATAGAACTAGAACAGAACTAGAACAGAACTAGAACAGAACTAGAACAGAACTAGAACAGAACTAGAACAGAACTAGAACAGAACTAGAACAGAACTAGAACAGAACTAGAACAGAACTAGAACAGAACTAGAACAGAACTAGAATAGAACTAGAACAGAACTAGAACAGAACTAGAACAGAACTAGAACAGAACTAGAACAGAACTAGAATAGAACTAGAACAGAACTAGAACAGAACTAGAACAGAACTAGAACAGAACTAGAACAGAACTAGAACAGAACTAGAACAGAACTAGAACAGAACTAGAACAGAACTAGAACAGAACTAGAACAGAACTAGAACAGAACTAGAACAGAACTAGAACAGAACTAGAACAGAACTAGAACAGAACTAGGACAGAACTAGGACAGAACTAGAACAGAACTAGAACAGATCTAGAACAGAACTAGAACAGAACTAGAATAGAACTAGAACAGAACTAGAACAGAACTAGAACAGAACTAGAACTAGAACAGAACTAGAACAGAACTAGAACAGAACTAGAACAGAACTAGAACAGAATTAGAACTGATCTAGAACAGATCTACAACTCAATTAGAATTGAACTGGAACTAAATTAGAAAATGTTTCTTTAAGTTGTAATACCTTTTTTTTAATCTTTGCAAAAAATACATTTAATTAAAAATTGTTTTGTACATTTTAGTTTCTTGTCACCCATTTCTAGTAATTAAAAATTTTTGGGTTCCTTTTTTGAAAGGGTATTAAATACAAGTCAACTAGGTACTATTTTTAATTGTCTCTAATTATTTTCATGGCTTTTGTAGGAATTCAAAAAAAGAGAAAGACAGAAAACCTTTCCTTTTTTCGTATGGCCACAAAATAGAAATAAAGAAATTCCCATACAACAAAAATAATGACAATGATGATCATGATGATGACATAACAATGGTTGTCTAAAGCCCTTAGGAATCCAAACAATTTATAGTAACAACTTTATCCTCTTTTAAGAGGAAAACAAAAAAAAAAAAACCTGAACAAAAAAATAAATAAAATGTGAAAAGTTCAACATGTTTGCAGACATCTGTCAATACTACTATCAACACTCGTTATGCTTCTATGAACACACTTTTTTATATGATTTAAAAAAATAATTCTTTTATTTTATAAATAAATTCAACAAAAATAAAAACAAACACACATACACAGACATCATTCATATAGACATCATGCTCATCATCAGCAGTAACATTTAATGTTAACGTGCGAACTTGAATCAGAACAAGGATTTCCTTTTAAGAACAGGAACTGAATACGTTTTCATTCATACTCAACGCTGGCATGACAGGTTGATTAAAAATAATAATAAAAAGCAACTGAAGAAGAATATAAAAAAATATGGAAAAAGGTAGATTTGTAAAGGGAATAAAACTTGGGTTTTAATTTTATACAAAATTTCCATATTGACAATTAAAACTATACAACATTAAAATGAATTCTGTATATTTATCTTTTTTAACTTTTTCAGCTTGGCTTGTTGTCTCATTAAAATTTTAATCAAGCAATTAAATATGAAATGTTATGGAAAATAATGATAAAATAACATTTTCAAGCAGAAAATTCAAAATAAAAATTCGTATAAATTCATAATATTATTTTCCCTGAAGCGTATACGAAATATTTAATTGATGAATATAAATAATAATCATACGCAGTAGAGTAAATAAATAGCAGAAATGAAATTTCTTAAAATTAAAATTTAGTTCAGTTTAGTTTAAGTTCAGTTCTAGTTCAGTTCTAGTTTAGTTCTAGTTCAGTTCTAGTTCAGTTCTAGTTCTAGTTCAGTTCTAGTTCAGTTCTAGTTTAGTTCTAGTTCCGTTCTAGTTCAGTTGTAGTTCAGTTCTAGTTCAGTTGTAGTTCAGTTCTAGTTCAGTTCTAGTTCAGTTCTAACTCAGTTCTAGTTCAGTTCTAGTTCAGTTCTATTTCAGTTCTAGTTCAGTTCTAGTTCAGTTCTAGTTCAGTTCTAGTTCAGTTCTAGTTCAGTTCTAGTTCAGTTCTAGTTCCGTTCTAGTTCAGTTCTAGTTCAGTTCTAGTTCAGTTCTTGTTCAGTTCCAGTTCAGTTCTAGTTCAGTTCTAGTTCAGTTTTAGTTCAGTTCTAGTTCAGTTCTAGTTCAGTTCTAGTTCAGTTCTAGTTCAGTTCTAGTTCAGTTCTAGTTCAGTTCTAGTTCAGTTCTAGTTCAGTTCTAGTTCAGTTCTAGTTCAGTTCTAGTTCAGTTCTAGTTCAGTTCTAGTTCAGTTCTAGTTCAGTTCTAGTTCAGTTCTAGTTCAGTTCTAGTTCAGTTCTAGTTCAGTTCTAGTTCAGTTCTAGTTCAGTTCTAGTTCAGTTTTAGTTCCGTTTTAGTTCAGTTGTAGTTCAGTTGTAGTTTAGTTCTAATTAATTTCAATATTAAATACAAATAACATCCTTTTGGATAAACATATTATTATTTTCCAGCGAAAAAGTCTTTTAATTGAAATTTATTTAAATAAAAACTAATTTAATTTACAAAACTTATTCATTTATAAATTTTTTAGTTTATGCTTAAAAAATTTTTCATAAAACAGAATTCAAGTACATTTTGCTTTGCTAACTATATCAAAAACTTCCTGTATGTTAGTTAAATAACAAAAAATCCTTTACACAAACTTAAAAAACCACAGAAAAAAAGAAATAATTATATAATAATTCATATGAGAGAGGCAGTAGCTGAGCAAAAAGGACAACATCAGCAGCCCATTAAAAATAACTTTGCAAAATTCGTGCAGAATAGCACAATGGAATAGTAGGCTTATTAAATTATATTTAACATTAGTTGGACAAATTTTTTTTCTTTATTTTCATATTTCAAAACACTTTGGCATATATAAGCTGGTGTAACAAATGCAATTTTACTATATGAATTAAACTGCCATGTATGTTCGTTCTCATGTAAGTTTATAAGTTTTTGTGGGTGTTTTTTTTTGGCTTTTTATTATGTATAATAATAAACATTAGGAACAGCATTAGTTTGTTTGGGGGGTGTTCTGCAAGTTGTAATAGTAGTTGTGTTGTTGTCAAATTAAAATTTCATATCCAGGTGCAAATGGCATGTTCATGTTTCATGTATGTATGTTTGAAAGGAAAAAAATGTTTTTAAAACATGCAAATTTTCTATTATAATTTATATTTAGTTTTTTTTTTTCTTTTCATTCTTCTCTTCGGTAATGATATTTTACTGTAAATTTTTGCACACAAAATGCCATTATAAAAGTCATGTTTTATGGCATGATATTATAGTTTTTTCTTTCGATTTTAATTTTCTCTATCCAAAATTCCAAAAAAAGGAGCCATTTTGTTGTTTATTAAACTACCAGTAGCTTAAATTCAAAAGAAATATAATGTGTGTTCATTTATTACTCTTTTCCTCTCTTGTTTATGCTTGCTTGAGTTTATTTGCCACAAAAAATTTTTTATGCAACAATTGTTAGAGGATTTTTGCTAAGGAAAAAGTTTAACAGGAATGGTTCTGAATAAAAGTTTAAATAAATTCGACAGAAATCGTATAAGAAAACTTTAGCTGTTTAGCAAAATAATAGTTTTAGGTACTATTTATGCCAGTTCTAGTTCAGTTCTAATTCAGTTCTAGTTTAGTTCTAGTTCAGTTCAAGTTCAGTTCTAGTTCAGTTTTAGTTCAGTTCTAGTTCAGTTCTAGTTCAGTTCTAGTTTCAGTTCTAGTTCAGTTCTAGTTCAGTTCTAGTTCAGTTCTAGTTCAGTTCTAGTTCAGTTCTAGTTCAGTTCTAGTTCAGTTCTAATCTAGTTCAGTTCTAGTTCAGTTCTAGTTCAGTTCTAGTTCAGTTCTAGTTCAGTTCTAGTTCAGTTCTAGTTCAGTTCTAGTTCAGTTCTAGTTCAGTTCTAGTTCAGTTCTAGTTCAGTTCTAGTTCAGTTCTAGTTCAGTTCTAGTTCAGTTCTAGTTCAGTTCTAGTTCAGTTCTAGTTCAGTTCTAGTTCAGTTCTAGTTCAGTTCTAGTTCAGTTCTAGTTCAGTTCTAGTTCAGTTCTAGTTCAGTTCTAGTTCAGTTCTAGTTCAGTTCTAGTTCAGTTCTAGTTCAGTTCTAGTTCAGTTCTAGTTCAGTTCTAGTTCAGTTCTTGTTCAGTTCTAGTTCAGTTCTAGTTCAGTTCTAGTTCAGTTCTAGTTCAGTTCTAGTTCAGTTCTAGTTCAGTTCTAGTTCAGTTCTAGTTCAGTTCTAGTTCAGTTCTAGTTCAGTTCTAGTTCATTTCTAGTTCAGTTCTAGTTCAGTTCTAGTTCAGTTCTAGTTCAGTTCTAGTTCAGTTCTAGTTCAGTTCTAGTTCAGTTCTAGTTCAGTTCTAGTTCAGTTCTAGTTCAGTTTTAGTTGTAATTTAAAAAATTTTCCTCGTAAACATAACAAATTCAATAAAATCTTCTGTCATCTTTCCTAATTATCCTTATTTGTTTCTGCTCCTTAATTTTTCCCCTTTTTATTATGATGTGAATCTTTAGCTTTTTTTCTTGTTCCTTATCAGGATTTTTAATTGTCTTACACTACCGTTTAGTTGTTGGCCTATAAATTATTGTTATGATTTTGCTGTTTTTTTTTTTTTTTTTCATTTGACTTACCGTGACGTGCTTCCTCTCCTTCAGGGGCATGTTGTGTTATTGTATTAAGTTCCTCTTCCAAATCGACATGACAATCAGCTACGTCCCATGAGAGAAAACCTGCAAATGACACGAGCACAAGCACGTAAAAATAAAGACAAGAATACAAATTAATATTGGCAAATTTTAGTTATGTGAAAAGATATTGTTTATAACAACAACAATAAATGACAAGTAGAAAAAAAATATGATTTTTGATTATATTTTTTAAAAAGTATTGCAGTTATTTTCCAATTTTGTTGGAAATAATTGAAAAAGTTTGCTTTCTCTACTGTCCCTTGTTTATTTGGTTGTTTGTTGTAAAAGTGACAGTTTTTTGTTGTAAAATGTCGGCCATTTTTTCAATTTAGTTTATTTATTTATATTTTTACACGGACACAAATTATTTGTTTTAAAAATAAACACCAAAAAACAATTTAATATTTGCTTATGATAAATTAATTCAGAATTATAAAAGTTCTAGAATTTTTTACTTTTTTTATAAAATTTTTCTTTGATTCTATGTCAATTATCCTTTTAAACCACAATATTTTCTTTTTTGATTATTTATTCATTTCCACATCCTCTTTAATCCCGATGCTTGTATTTAAAGCTTTTTTTACCTTTAGACAAATATACAAAACAAAATCCTATTAGTAATAATACCACTAAACGTCCTCTAAAACACTTTATGGGTCTTATATACCAACTAAAAAAGAATTTATTTAACATTTCAAAAGAAGTAGAAAAAAAACAAACTAAAATTAAGAGATAACATTACCATTTAGAAACCAAAACACTTGCTTAACAATTCAGGGTAAATCGGGCAAACCACACAAAAAAAGGCAAACTAAAACATGTTTGTATTAGTAAAGGATTAAATTGCCTTGGGTAAAGCTATACGAAAAATTAGTTTGTAATAAAACATTATTCCTGTAATCTAGTAGTTGTAGTAGTTTTTACTCTCTAACTAAAGAGCACACAATTACACATGTAATTCTTTCAAATAACAATTGTAATATTTATTCTAAAGCTTAAGCATTGTCATAGCAACAACCATTTTACCTTAAAATACTTGAACTTAAACATATTTACATTTCAGTCTGTTAATTATTCCTTTTCGCATTTTGTTTCTACTTCTTCTGCTCAATCATTTCAAGTTGTAATTAATTGTTTCTTTGTTACAGCATTTTCCATATATGTTGTCATTTGTTATAATTATTATTAAGAATGCATTCTCATTCATCATTGTAATTAGCTGTTGAAAATGTTCTTAATAATGTCACAAAGAAAAAAAAAATAATAATAACGAAAACATATTAATATGTAACTAAATGAAGGATGTATGGATTTTCTTTTTAATTATTATAACAAAAACTCAAAACAATAGTGGTTGAATAAGTAATTTGTCACTAATTAAAACTTAAAAGATAATTACAAAAGGATTAATTAGGAGATGAATATTTTAATGTGGGGTATACAGTCTGTTGGGCTCATTAAAGTAGAGATAATTAGAGTTTTAATAAAGCATTTTTCATAAATATAAATTTTTTGCTTTCAACATGTGGATTCGCGTAATTTCGGATGTTTTTATTAAATGTTAAATTGTTAAAAATATTGTCTTATATAAGATCTAGTCATAAAATGATACGAAACTTTGAGAAAATAGCACAATTTTTAAAATTTTCCTAATTACGCCAAAATTAATATTAATCATACGCACCCATAAACAATATTTTGTTTTTTAAAGAAATTCCATAAACTCATTTATTTTACAAAAATTTGTTGGCAAAAACTCTTAACGCTTTGTATATTTTTAGCTCTAGTTCAGAACTAGAACTGAACTAGAACAGAACTGGAACAGAACTAGAACTGAACTACAATTGAACTAGAACAGAACTAGAACAGAACTAGAACAGAACTAGAACAGAACTAGAACAGAACTAGAACAGAACTAGAACAGAACTAGAACAGAACTAGAACAGAACTAGAACAGAACTAGAACAGAACTAGAACAGAACTAGAACAGAACTAGAACAGAACTAGAACAGAACTAGAACTCAACTAGAGAGCTGAACTACAACTGATTTTTTAAATATAAAGAAAATTTTAAATCTATTTTTAATTAATATTAATCATACGCTTTGTATTACTAATTTTAGTTTATTAAATATTCTTACAATTTACAAAATTTCAAACAATTTTTCCATAAAATAAATGAAAAGTTTTAATATTTTTGTAAAATTAAACAAAAATGTCTGCAACTTTTAATATTAATTACTCGTTTTATAAAATTTAAATATTTGTTTAATCTGGTGTAAATGGTTTGTAAAAAAATAATTTAAAAAATTTAGCTGCTCATTTGACTTTTCCTTTTTGCAATTTTAATTTTAATGAAAAGTGTTAAAATTTTTTAACAGCAAACACTTTACGAATGTTTTCATGTGGACTTTAATATGAGTAGTAGTTTTATTTTCTTCTTTTATATATTTTCATTTAAGCAAAAAGCTTTTAAAATTTACGAGTTTTTTTTTTTTTTTTTTGTAGTTTTAGTAGTGTAAATATTTAAACTATTTTAATAATCAGTGAAATGTAAACACTTTTGATTGTAACACTAGCCAGGATAAAGGAAATGAAAATGAAAAAAAAGTTTTAATGAAAATGAGTTATCAAATAAAATACAGTGGGGCAAATGCACAAGTAAAATTTTCTGAAAATTTTAAAAAGGTGTTAATTTTACTTTCCTTTAAGCTTTTTATGTTTTTAATTTACACGTTTTATTTAACTCCCTTAATAAATTCAACACAAACGTGCTGCAAACATAATTTTCAAACTTAAATTTTATTTTTATTAAGTCTAACACACGTTTTCATTTCTTTACAATATTTTACTCCATTCTGCAGTTGTTTTAATCCCTTGTCTTTAATTTAAAATGTGTCTCGTTTCGTAAGTAACAAAAATATTCATTGGCTTTTTTGTCATGTATATTCTACCATGTATGTCTTGTGTGTCTTGGCAAACAAAAACCCTACATGCTTAAAAAGAAGAAGTAGAAGTACCTACTATATGCTTAAAATCACATGAATAATTTATAAAATATATACAACATAATGTAGCATAAAGCAGTTGGCATTATTAAACACACAAAACGCAATATTCTACCTGCCACATAAAAAGACACAAAAGATGTTAATATATGTATATTCTAAGAGGATTTAGTAGAGAAGAGGTAAAACAGCCTTTCGCTGTTCAGAAAAACCTACAGCAGCAGCAGCTCCTTGAATAGGCCTCCTTGAGGCAACAGCTTGTGCTGTAACTATTCAATGTTAGTTATAACAATAACTAAGGTGTTTGCTGCAAGTTTAAGGCCTACCCCTGCTTACCTCTTGCTTAAGCATTCTTAATAAATGTTTCCATTTTTATTAGTTTCTTTAATTCTGTTTACAGGAACTAAAATTGTCTTGTCTCTGCCTTCCTGCCTGTTAGATTTATATTTATTATACCTACATACATCCAAAGAAACTTATGCTCATATGTTGTTAGGAATATGCTCATTAAAAGACCTTTTTATGCCTGGAAAATTATTATTCTTATTACAATTATTATAACGTTTCACTTAAAAAGCACGTAAATATAAAGGAGACATGCCTTTTATATCCTACAAAAAAAATCGGAGAAAATAAAATCTTTCATAGACAGTTTCAATTTTGGTTTTTTGTTGGAGGGGTTGGAGGTTTACAAATTAAATGTGAAACCTGTGTAATTATTAAGAAAATTATGTCTGACAATTCTTTTAAAAGCGGTTATTAAAAAGTTTTTTTCTGAGAGACAACACAGCGTATGATTATTAATAATTATGTTTACTTTAAAACGTATGAGTAATATGAATATTTATGACATTTTAATTGTATTTTAAAAGGGTTTCTTAATTGTATCTGTCTTGTCTAAAAGCTGTTCTAGTTCTGTTCTAGTTCTGTTGTAGTTCTGTTCTAGTTCTGTTCTAGTTCTGTTCTAGTTCTGTTCTAGTTCTGTTCTAGTTCTGTTCTAACTAGTTCTAGTTCTGTTCTAGTTCTGTACTATTTCTGTACTAGTTCTGTTCTAGTTCTGTTCTAGTTCTGTTCTAGTTCTGTTCTAGTTATGTTCTAGTTCTGTTCTAGTTCTGTTCTAGTTCTGTTCTAGTTCTGTTCTAGTTCTGTTCTAGTTCTGTTCTAGTTCTGTTCTAGTTCTGTTCTAACTAGTTCTAGTTCTGTTCTAGTTCTGTTCTAGTTCTGTACTATTTCTGTACTAGTTCTGTTCTAGTTCTGTTCTAGTTCTGTTCTAGTTCTGTTCTAGTTCTGTTCTAGTTCTGTTCTATTTCTGTTCTATTTCTGTTCTAGTTCTGTTCTATTTCTGTTCTATTTCTGTTCTATTTCTTTTCTATTTCTGTTCTATTTCTGTTCTAGTTCTGTTCTAGTTCTGTTCTAGTTCTGTTCTAGTTCTGTTCTAGTTCTGTTCTAGTACTGTTCTAGTTCTGTTCTAGTTCTGTTCTAGTTCTGTTCTAGTTTTGATCTAGTTTTGTTCTAGTTCTGTTCTATTTCTGTTCTATTCTGTTCTAGTTCTGTTCTAGTTTTGTTCTAGTTCTGTTCTAGTTCTGTTCTATTTCTGTTCTATTTCTGTTCTAGTTCTGTTCTATTTCTGTTCTATTTCTTTTCTATTTCTGTTCTAGTTCTGTTCTAGTTCTGTTCTAGTTCTGTTCTAGTTCTGTTCTAGTTCTGTTCTAGTACTGTTCTAGTTCTGTTCTAGTTCTGTTCTAGTTTTGATCTAGTTTTGTTCTAGTTCTGTTCTATTTCTGTTCTATTTCTGTTCTAGTTCTGTTCTAGTTCTGTTCTAGTTCTGTTCTAGTTCTGTTCTAGTTCTGTTCTAGTACTGTTCTAGTTCTGTTCTAGTTCTGTTCTAGTTCTGTTCTAGTTTTGATCTAGTTTTGTTCTAGTTCTGTTCTATTTCTGTTCTATTTCTGTTCTAGTTCTGTTCTAGTTTTGTTCTAGTTCTGTTCTAGTTCTGTGCTTGTTCTAGTATTATTTAGCATCAATTGTAGTTCAAGT